CAGGTGGATGGCAGGCCAGCCCCACCCCCTGGTTAAACTTCCGGTCAAATTCCTGGTTGAGGGGACAATTTGCATATTAGCCTTTTATTATATAGGATAGCTAAAATATGGAAACAACCTAGGTGTTCATCAATATATGAATGGGTAAAACAGAAGCAGATATATACGTGTGTGTGTGTGTGTGTGTGTGTGTGTGTGTGTGTACACAAAGGCATACTGGAATATCACTCAACCATGAAAAGGAATGGAATCCTGCCACTTGTAACAACATGAATAGACCTAGGCGGTATTATGCTAAGTGAAATAAGTCAGAGAAAGACAAGCACCATATCATTTCACTTATGTGTGGAATCTAAAAGAACTAAACGAATGAACAAACTAAACAAACAGACTCATAAGATACAGAAAAACTGATAGTTGTCAGAGGGTTGGGTCGTGGGAGTATGGGCAAAAAGGTGAAGGGGATTAAGAGATGCAAACTTATAGTTATCATATAAGTAAGTCATGGGGATGTAAAGTACAGCATAGGAAATACAGTCAATTATCCCATATAATAAAAGGCTAATATGCAAATTGTCCCCTCAGGAGTTTGACCGACCAGGAGTTTGACTGCCCACTATAATGTGTGCTGACCACCAGGGTGTGGCACAGAATGAAGAAAGGCCATGGCTGGCAGCCGGGGGAAGGAAGGCCCCGATTGGCCCTGATTGCCGGCCAGGCCTAGGGACCCTACCCATGTATGAATTTTGTGCACCGGGCCTCTAGTATCATAATAACTTTGTGTGGTGACAGATGAATAGTAGACTTTTTGTGGTGATCATTTTGTAAGGCATATAAATGTGAAATCTCACTATGTTGTACACTTGAAACTATTGTATATCAAGTATACTTTAATTTAAAAGAGCTTTATAGCACTAGCCAGTTGGCACTAGCCAGCATCGGCCCGAGGACTAAAGGTCCCAGGTTTGATTCCAGTCAAGGGCATGTACCTTGGTTGCAGGCTCAATCCCCAGCCCTGGTCAGGGTGCGTGCTGAAGGCAACCAATCGATGTCTCTCTCTCACATCAATGTTTCTCTCTCCGTCTTTCCCCCTCCCTTCTACTTTCTCTAAAAATCAATGGAAAAATATCCTGTGTGAGGATATGAGCTTTACATTCTAGAAATTTTTTAAGTGGTTAAAATGGTAACTTTCATATTATGCATTTTTACCACAATTTTAAAAAATCATCCCTTTTTTAAAAAAGTCTAGGCAGGAAAAGAAGACCTCCACTTACTTGAGCTAAAAGGCATGAATGGTAGAGAATGAAAATGAAGCGCATCTGTCCGGAGGCCTCTGAGTATGTCTGGGAAAAGTATTTCCCAGGCCCTTTGCTATTCTCCCTCCTCCTCTACCTTCTTTGTGGAACCTCCTACTGTATGACTCTAGGAGGTATCATTCACACTTTAGTCTAAATGAGTGTGACCTGCCAGGCAGGGACTTTGTGGTTAGATCTTATTTTCCTAGTGGGGCCAGGTATCATAAATCCCCCCAGCCTCCTGTCTTGTGATTCTCCACCACTCACACTCCCTCTGTTAGCAGAAGTTCCTGTCCATTCCTCCACAGCATCCTGGCCCTGACTTCCTTTCCCCCACGTGACTTTTCGCAAGCTCCAGAGTCTTGTAAGGACAGAACCTCCCTCCGATGTACTCCAGGTGGCAGAACATCAGCTGGCAGATAACTCAGCCATCGTCCTCCTAATGGTAAAAACCTTACCTGTCACCGAGATCGTGAGCTCATCACTGGGCTCTGAGGCGTAGAAAGGAGCGCTTTCTACGTAGTACACACAGCTGTAGGCCCCAGTATCATTGACAGTCACACTTGGAAGGGAGAAGTCTGTCTCCGTTTTTACTGGACCCTGGAGCTTTATGGGTGTTGAAGTTCCTTTCTTCAGTAGAGCAAACATGTGAGGTTCTATCACATTCTTGGGTAGCTGGCACTGCAGAATCACGTTTTCTCCTGCAGTCACCTTGCACCCTGGGCGGGCGTGGAGGGAAGGTTTAAGTAGTTCTCCTGTAAGAGAAGGAAGCTCAGAAGTCATGGGCAGAAGCCTGGGTCCCCGCTCAGGCTTGTTGTCCTGGCAGGTTCCCAGGGAGTGTGGGAAGTGACAGACACCTGGCCTCACCCTCTTTCTGCTCTGACTCCAGGAAGGAGATGTGCCTCCTACAAGCCCTGGATGAAGGCAGGTCCTCAGCTCTGTTCCAGTCCTTCTCCATCCACCTCCCCATCTACCCTGGAGGTGAGATCTTGCTCCTCTCTCATTCTCTGGATACCCCCTCATCCCTGTCCTAGGGAGATGGTGTGTCATTCTGAGCACCTGTCCTCACCTGTCACCAGTAGTAGAAGGACATCACTGAGCAGTGACCTTCTGGTGGGGCTCCCTGTCCTGTAATCACAGGTGTACTTTCCAGCGTCACCGAGTTTTATGTCACTGAGATGAAACTCTGCCAGGCCCTCTGGGGAATCAGAAGATGGCAAGGACTCCAAAGAAACGTTGTTCTTTCTGAAAGCAAACTTTATGTCCCTGAAAATGACCTCACGGATAGGAATGGAGCATTGCAGTGTCACAGTACTATTGGCAGGAACCACCCAGCTGGGCCGGGCACGGATGGAGGGCCTGGGAAGTGACCCTGGAAGGAAGCAGAGTCCAGAGCTGGATTAGGTTCATTCACCTGCTCTTCTGAAGAAAGAGAAGGGGTGAGGGGAATTTGGAGTGAAGGAGAAGGCAGGCTTTCCTTTAGAAACACTCACCATCTCTTCTTAGGTTTTGGCCAGCACACAGCCCTGCAAAGGAATCGTCCATGAGACAGAAGCTCCTGCCTGGAACCCACGTCATCACCCTGACCTGGTCCCCGAGGGACCACCCAGGGCTTTTGCTGCGAATGGATCCCTCATCATCCTTTTCCCATCAGGCCCAACTCCCTCCCCAAGAACCCAACTGGCATCAAAGTCCATTCGCGGCTTCTGTTAGTGGCCTAGGGCTGCTCTAACAAATTACTGCACAGTTCCTGGCTTATCACAGCACAGTGTACCATCCTGCCATTCGGTCGGTGTGAGAAATCCAGCATCGGGTCTCACTGGCCAAAATCAAGATGTTGGCAGGATTGCGTTCCTCTGGAGGGTCCAGGGGAGAATCCGTCCCCTGCCTTTCTTAGTTTCTAGAAGTGCTTGCATTGGCTTGTGGCCTCTTCCCCCATCTTTTTTATTTTCCTTTTAATCTTCACTGAGGATATTTTTTCATTGATTTTAGAGAGAGGGAAATATCGATGTGAGAGAAGCACATCAGTTGGTTGCCTCCTGCATGAGCCCTGACCAGGCCCCAGGCCGGGGAGGAGCCTGCAACCGAGGTACATGCCCTTGACCAGAATCAAACCCAGGACCCTTCAATCCACAGGCCAACACTCTATCCACTGAACCAAACTGGCTAGGGCGTCTCTTCCCCCATCTTTGCACCCAGCAATGGTTGGATGAGTCCGACTTCCCCTTCTCTCTACTACTTTAAGGACCATTGTGATTGCATTGGGATCAACCAGATAATTTAAGATCCTCTCTCTCAGGCCAGCTGCTTAGCAACTTTGGGTCCATCTGCCACTTTAATTCTCCTTTGCCATCGAAGGAGACATAGTCACAGATTCCAGGAATCGGGATGTGGACATCTTCGGGGAGCCGGCTGCACAGTGTCTCTACCTTTTTCACTTGTCCCATTTTTCCATCCCAGGTTCCTCTCCTCTCACAATGCCCCCATGATGTTGGGTGGCCTTTCTATTTTCCTCCAGAATTGACCCACTTCTCCACATCATTCATCCTTTTTTATTGAATTTATTGGGGTCACATCCTATATAATAAAGAGCTAATATGCTAATTAGACCAGATGGCAGAATGACCTTCCTGAACAGGTTTCAGGGGTACAATTCTACAATACATCATTCGTATGTTATATTGTGTGTTCACCACCCCAAGTCAAGCCGTCTTGCACCACCATTTATCCTCCCCTTGGCCCTCTCCTACCTCCTCTCACCACCCCCCTTCCCTCTGGTCCATCATCCATCCTTTACCCATCTTATTCTTCTGCCATATCCTGCCATGTTGTCTCTAGATTTCATGGTAGAGGAGAAGACAAAGGACATGACCACTTCTGAATATCTCTATCACCCCAAGGTGTCCTCTGATGTGTCACATTGTAGAGGGCAAAGCACCCCTCCCCTGGTGCTGTCTATTCTAGACCGTGAGAGACATCATTGGTGACAAAAGCCATTTGGAAAAGACACCTCAGTTTTAATGAGAAACGCACCAATTGGTTGCCTCCTGCATGCTCACCCTCGTTCACCCTCCAATTGGTTATTCCTCATGCCCTGGGGAAATTTTATATCTGGAGTCACTAGAACTTGTGCCCCTCGAGGGCAGAGAATATATCCTCGGTGCCTGGGACAGTGCCTAGGTTTCAGCAAAGGTTCGATAAGTTCGTGTTGACTGACTGAGTTGAAGCCTTATTAAGCAGGGAGAGAGGGTCATTTGCAAAGATTTTTGATGAGCAGAAATAGCAGTAATCTCCCCAAACCCCCTCGCAGCACAACACCATACCCACCCACAGCAACTGAGATGGAAGAAAGAGGTGGGGAGACCCCAAGCCTATGACAAGGGCATCGGCTGCTGAAGACCTGGTCCTTTGCCCTCGTGTATTTCTTCCCGCTCTCAGAATGGCCATGTGCGTCTCTGGCTCTACCATTGGCCATGGGTAACCTCCTTGGTGCTCCAGAGCAAATCTCAGCAATCTAAAACCCGTATGACTCAGAGGAATGAAGCCTGTGTCCCTCACCTTCCCATCTGGTGGCCGCACTTACAGCTCTAGACCGAACTGGCCCCAGGAAGTGTGCCTTTAGACACCAAGGTAGGTGGTCTTGTTTGATTAGCTTAGGACAGTGATTCTCTACAGGGGACACTGGGCCACATCCTAGCAACTTGCAAATACACAATACAGTGTCGTTCACTCTAGTCACCATGCTGGTATAACAGACCCCCAGAACTTACTCATCTTACAGCTGGAAGTTTGTACCCTTTGACCAACATCTTCCATTTCTCCCACACACACACCCAGCCCCTGGTAACCACCATTCCTCTCTTTGTTTCTATGAGTTCGGCATTTTTAGATTCCACATATGAATGAGAACATGCAGTATTTGTTCTCTCAGTCTGACTTGTCTCACTTAGCATAATACCACCAAGGTCCATCCACATTGTTGCTAATGGCAGAATTTCCTTCTTTCTCATGGCTGAACAGTATTACATTATCTAGCTACATGGCAGATAGATGGATAGACAGAAAGACAGACGACAGATGTCCTTTTTTAGCCACTCATCTATTGATGGACACAAGTTTTTTTGTGTGTTTTCACTATTGTAAATAATGCTGCAATGAACATAGGGGTGCAGATATCTCTGTGAGGTCGTGTTTTCACGTCCTTCAGAATATATATATATCCAGAAGCAAAATTGCTGGGTCATGTGGTAATCCTATTTTTAATTTTTGGAGGAACTTCCACAGTGGCCGCACTAATTTACATTTCCACCAACAGTTCCCTTTTCTTCACACCTCTTCCCAACACTGATCTCATCTCGATGATGACCATTGTACCAGGTGGTGAGCAGTTGTGACAGAGCCCTTGTGGCCCAGAGCCTCTCTGCCACTCGGGCCTCTACATAAAAAGGTTGCCAACAGCTACTGAGCTCATCGGATCCACTGTCACTTCCCTGCCCTAGGTTTTCCCAGCCATGGCTTCCTTCACTCACCCTCCAAATATTTCCACCCCAAGTTATCACCTTTTATTCGTATTCTTTTGGCATTTTTATATGTTTATTGACTTGAGAGAGAGAAACATCAGCTGGCTGCCTCCTGCATGCATCCCGACCGCAGATCAAACCCGGAACCTGGGTATGTGGCCCAACCAGAAATTGAACTGGAGACCTTTTGGTGCGTTGGAGAACACTCCAACCAACTGAGCCGCACTGTCCAGTGCAAATCCTGACCTTTTAAAGTTCCCAGCCTGGCTCAGTGGGAACTTGCTGTCTTTGAAACTGTGCAGACCCGAATTTGAATTGAACTTCTCCATTTCTGTGTCACATCTGCTGTCAGTCTCAGATTCCTCACAGGCAATATGGGGATGTGACTGTTCTGCAGAATTTTTCTAAGACATGTAACATGAAGTCATACAAAGACACAAGATTAACATTGACTCTGTGTGAGAAAGTTGTTCTCTTCGCATTCTATCTCTGTCTTTTTTTCCTTTAATCTTCACCTGAGGATATGTCTTTATTGATTTTTAGAAAGAGGAAGGGAGAGAGAGAGAAAAAAAATATTGATTGGTTGCCTCCCATACACACCCTGACCAGGGATTGAACCCACAACCTGGGTATGTGCCCTGACCGGGAATCAAACCAGAAACTTTTTTGGTGTGTGGGTCAACGCTCCAACCAACTGAGCCACCCAGCCAGGGCCTGTCTCTGTCTTGATCACAGAAGAATACCACAGCCTGATACTAGTTTCCAACCCATTTCCTTTTTATTTTAATTTGTATTTATTGACTTAAGAGAGCAAGAAACAGCAATCTGTTGTTCCACTTATTTAGGAATCCAAAAAGGACCACACCAAGACACATCATAATTAAAATGCCAAGAGCAAAAGACAAAGAGAGAATCTTAAAAGCAGCAAGAGAAAGACAGTCAGTTACCTACAAGGGAGTACCCATACGACTGTCAGCTGATTTCTCAACAGAAACTTTGCAGGCCAGAAGGGAGTGGCAAGAAATATTCAAAGTGATGAATACCAAGAACCTACAACCAAGATTACTTTATCCAGCAAAGCTATCATTCAGAATTGAAGGTCAGATAAAGAGCTTCACAGATAAGAAAAAGCTAAAGGAGTTCATCACCACCAAACCAGCATTATATGAAATGCTGAAAGGTATTCTTTAAGAAGAGGAAGAAGAAAAAGGAACTCTTACCATTTGCCACACCATGGATGGAACTAGAGAGCATTATGCTAAGTGAAATAAGCCAGTCAGAGAAGGATAAATACCACATGATCTCACTCATTTGTGGAATATAATGAACAACATAAACTGATGAACAAGGACTGATCCAGAGATGGAGAGGCATTGATTGGACTGTCGGGCCTTGGAGGGAAGGTAGGGGAGGGCAGGGTTAAGGGGGAAAGATCAACCAAAGGACTTACATGCAAGCATATAGGTCTAACCAATGGACACGGACAACGGGGGAGTGAGGGCATGAGTGGGGGGGAGGGGTAGAGGGTAACGTGGGGATAAGGACACATATGTAATATCTTAATCAATAAAAAAAAAAGAATGAAAACATATTTGAAGAAATAATGACAGAAAACTTACCCTACCTGGTGAAAGAAATAGACTTACAAGTCCAGGAAGCGCAGAGACAGGAGGCAGCTGATCGATGTTTCTCATCGATGTTTCTAACTCTCTATCCCTCTCCCTTCCTCTCTGTAAAAAAAAAATAATACATTTTTAAAAATAAAATCAATAAAAATTTAAAGAATAAAAACCTGAAGCAATTTGAAGAAGAATATCACTTATGAAAGAACACAGACATGTGCCCCTGCCGGTGTGGCTCAGTGGTTAGAGTGTCAGCCCGAGGGCTGAAGGGTCTCAGGTTTGATTTATGAACCTGGGTTGCAGGTTCAATCCCCAGCCAGGTTTGGGCATGTGCGGGAGGCCACCAATAGATGTGTCTCTCTCCCATCAATGTTTCTCTCCTCCCCAGCCTTTCCCTCCTTTCCACTCTCTCTGAAAACCAATGGGAGAAAATACCCTCCAGTGAGGATTAACAACGAAAAAGTATACAGACATGTGACAAGCATCTGGCAAAATGCAATTGGGAAGTTCAGCAATGACTGAATTGGGGAAACATATAGAGGAAAATGTGTGTAAAGCACCCAACACATTCCTCGTTCATAATAGGTATTCAGGAAAGGAAATACCTGCTCTTTGCTTACCCGTCCAACCCCATGACCTACCCCACAAGTTGCCCCAAGTCCAGTTGCCTCCATAGCCCAACTCATCACCGCCCTCAATGGCCCTCCCTCCCCAATACTTACCAACGCAGAACAGAGCCAGGAATGGGAGGGTCATGGTGGCCCCCGACGCCTCTTTCTAGGATCTTCCTTGAGTTTTGCTGTTTGTCAGAATGGTCTCTTGACTCCTGGATATGCAAAAACCAGCACCGTTTTTAATCCTCCACTGATGTATACCCCCAGTTTCTGCCTCACAGTTAAAATCAGGAAGCTGTGGCACTTACCAACGCAGAACAGAGCCAGGAATGGGAGGGTCATGGTGGCCCCCGACGCCTCTTTCTAGGATCTTCCTTGAGTTTTGCTGTTTGTCAGAATGGTCTCTTGACTCCTGGATATGCAAAAACCAGCACCGTTTTTAATCCTCCACTGATGTATACCCCCAGTTTCTGCCTCACAGTTAAAATCAGGAAGTCGTGGCTATTTATTGCAACACCCTCTCAAGCCACTTCCCACCGGCTTGACTCACAGAGCCGCTTGGCGGCAGAGCTCAGCTAGCCCAACGTTAAGGCGCATTCGAAAGTGTGCGCAGTATGTGAGAAGTTGCTCGTCGAATTATTTTATAGCCCTTGTGCCCTTCTACGTGGCGACAGAATTCAGCTGGAGCTATGGCAACCAGAATAGCGGCTCCGTGTCTCTGGTCAACACGGCTTGCATGGAAGTGACATGTACAAGTTCAGAGTTCTGCCCCTCAGGAACGTCAGAGGGCTGGAGCTGGGCCAGACCTGATAGCAAAGAGATGAGACATTGTGGTGGCATTGCAAGGGAGGGAGAAGCTGGGAGAATGAGAAAACGGACCCTGTAATGGAAAGTTTAAGAAAAAGTGTTCCTGTCCTAACCAGTTTGGCTCAGCGGATAGAGCATCAGCCTGCGGACTCAAGGGTCGCAGGTTCGAATCCGGTCAAGGGCATGTACCTTGGTTGCAGGCACATCCCCAGTAGGGAGTGTGCAGGAGGCAGTTGAGCGATGTTTCTCTCTCATTGATGTTTCTAACTCTCTATCCCTCTCCCTTCCTCTCTGTAAAAAATCAATAAAATATATATATTTTTAAAAAGTGTTCCTTGCCCGACCAGTGAGGCTCAGTGGTTGAGCATCGACCTATGTACTAAGAGGTCAGGGTTCAATCCCCAGTCAGGACACATAACAAGAAGCAACCAATGAATCTATATATATAAAAGCCTAAGTGACTATTAAAACTGGTCAACCGAATGACCAGTCGCTATGATGCGCACTGACCACCAGGGGGAAGCTGCGCAATGCAGGAGCTGCCCCCTGGTGTTCAGTGCGCTCCCACAGCCAACCTCCTGTGGCTGGCCAACCTCCCTCGGTCCCTCCCCCCCAGGGGGGGTGGCTGGCCAGCCCAATCAGACTGGGCAAGACAGCCCCGATTGGCCCTGATCACCGGCCAGGCCAAGGGACCCCACCTATGCACAAATTTGTGCACCAGGTCAACACAGGAGCTGCCCCCTGGTGTTCAGTGCGCTCCCACAGCCAGCCTCCCGCGGCTGGCCAACCTCCCTCGGTCCCTCCCTCCAGGGAGGTTGGCTGGCCAGCCCAATCAGACTGGGTAAGACAGCCCCGATTGGCCCTGATCACCAGCCAGGCCAAGGGACCCCACCCATGCACAAATTTGCGCACCAGGCCTCTAGTGCATAAATAAGTGGAACAACAAATCCATGTTCGTCTGTGGACGTGGTGGGGACTTCCTGACCTGGGAGCAGCTCTTTAGCAACATTGGCCACAAGTGGATATATAAATACCTCAGCCCCCTTGACCGTTGGAAAATAACTGAAGTGTGTGTTCCTGACTAGCCTCTATTGCTCAATCAGTACTAAGTACCACAGTATTAGGTACCAGCCATACTGAGCCCCAGCAGGATTGGCACTAGCAGCACCGAGCTTCTTACCACTCAACACTCCCGTGTTCCTTTCGTGACTTTGCCTAATTTCAATGGGGCACACATCTTGTTATTAAATTTTCCAACTTCACCCTAGCCGGTGTGGCTCAGTGGATAGAGCACCGGCCTGCAGACTGAAGGGTCCTGGTTTGATTCCCGTCAAAGGCACATGCCCAGGTTGCGGGCTCGAAGCAATATTTACAGCCACAAGGATGCGCATTAACATATTCTGTTTTATTAAAAATGCTGCCTTCTCGAATCATGGCCCCCATGTGTAACACACAGTCGTGCAGGTGCCCAATTTGCGGAAGGATGAGCAATCTCTGCTGGGGTGGGCTTTTGTTTCAGGAACTGACCTAAACCAGGACAGGTATTTTGATTGGGAAATTTATAATAGGAGTAAATGGTATAAAATGATGTCATTTAAAATATATATAAGTATTTTATTGTCCTAGCCAGTTTGGCTCAGCAGATAAGAGCTGCAAAATGAAAGGTCCCAGGTTCGATTCAGGTCAAGAGTACGTGCCCTGGCCGAAACTGGTTTGGCTCAGTGGATAGAGCGTCGGCCTGCGGACTGAAGGGTCCTGGGTTCGATTCCGGTCAAGGGCATGTATCTGGGTTGCGGGCACATCCCCTTTACAAGGCCAACATTATTCTAATTCAACGAAATGAAAAGACAACCCACTGAATGGGAGCACATATTCGCCAATGATATATCTGATAAGGGGTTAATATCCAAATTTATAAAGAACTTATAAAATCCAACACCAAAAAAAAAACCCAAACTATCCAAGAAGCCCAGCTGGCATGGCTCAGTCGTTGAATGTTGACCTATGAACCAGGAGGCCACAGTTTGATTCCCATTCAGGGCACGTGCCCTGGTTGGGGGCTCGATCCTCAGGGGGGAGCGTGCAGGAGGCAGCCAATCAATGATTCTCATCACTGATGTTTCTATCTCTCTCTCCCTCTCCCTTCCTCTCTGAAATAAAATATATATATATACATATATGTTTTTATTGATTTTAGAGACATAGGAACCCCCCTCCTGCACAGCCCCTATTGGGGATTGAGGCTGCTACGCCGGCATGTGCCCTGACTGGGAATTGGAATCCAACCAGTGACCTGTTGGTGCACGGGATGACGCTCCACCAACTGGGCCACACCGGGCTGACATGATGTTCCCTTCAACACCCAGTTCTCTCAGTGGACGAGACTAGGGTAGTTGTGAGTTAAGCAGAACTGAATTTTGAAGTCAAATTAGCCGCCTGTGTGCATTGACTTGATGAAGAGATCAGAGGAGACACTTGGAGCAGAACTTTCTGGGTTTGGTCTTAGTACCAACGGGCGACCCTGGCAGATGTATCCAGGGCAATCCCCCTGGTGCATGTGGATGTGGGAGATCAAGGGAGAGGAAGGAACCCGGGGTATAAAGAGAGAGCCAGGCCTGGGAAGGGTGCAAAGTCAAGTTTGTACTTCAGCTTGACTTCATCTATTCACTCATTCATTCAACCACTCATCAGGCATTCATTCTCACACCCATGTATCCATTCCTCCCTTCATTAATCAATTTGTTAATCTACTCACCCATTCACTTCCTTAATCAATATTCCTCAATCTACTTATGTATGTATCCAATATTTTTCCCAGTGACGGGCAAAGACCAAGTGTTCAATGAATGTTTATTGAGTGGATAGCAGTCATAATGCAAATTTCACTGTCTGCCATTGATCATGTCTCCATCCCAATCTTTGTTGCCAGGCAGTCCACACACGCTATGTCAGTCTTCTAAGATCCATACAGGAGTTTAACCTGTTGGGTTTCTTTTTCTCCCTGTGGCTGCCTCTTCGAAACAAGAACTAAACAACACCACAACCTCTTCCAGTTTGTTGAGTCAAGACTTCTGGGTTTTACCGGCTTTAGTCTCCTCTTTCACTTTCATTTTTAAGTGAGGAAGAGCTAGGGGAATGTTTAACATTTAACAATTGCAAAGCAATTTATGATCTTTGAGGCAGTGGTTCCTTTTATTTGTCACCCGTGAAGGCTCCGAGTTGGTCTCTGCTCTCTAGTCCCGCTTGCCTGGCTAACTCTGCCCACCCTTCAGGTCTCAGAATAGATGCTATTTCCCCTGCAAACTCTTGCCTGACCCATATGTGCTTCCCTGGTGCCTTATCACACCCTAACTGAGTACTTAGCATACTGTATTCTTTTTAAAAAATTGATTTTTAGAAAGAGAAGGAGAGAGAAACATAGATGTGAGAGCACACATTGATTGCTGCCTCCTGCAGCACCCCCTACTGTGGATCGAGTCAGAAACCCAGGCATGTGCCCTGACTGGAAATCGAACTGCAAACTTTCTGTGCATGGGACGAAGCCCAACCAACTGAGCCACACTGGCCAGGGCTAGTGTGCTGTATTCTGACTTTCTCTCTCCTGGACCAGACCACAAGCTCCTCCCAAGGGACCAGGTTGTTTTATCCCCAGGGCTTGGGAAACATGCCCAGTGTGGCTGCATGAGCTCACCACGCTGAGGATGCCATAGCAGGCTCCGTACTTTTGCCCTTCAGTGGTGGGCAGAATAGTGGTTCTGCTGAACATGTGAAGTGCCAATTTCCAGAACCTGTGGATGTTACATCTGGCAAAAGGGACTTCACGGATGTGATGAAATGAAAACTCATGAGACGGGGAGAGCATCCTGGATTATCTGCGTGGGTTTAATGTCATCACTAGGGTCCTTGTAAGAGGGAGGCAGAGCCCGACATGGTTTGGCTCAGTGGATAGAGCGTCAGCCTGTGGACTGAAGGATCCCAGTTCGATTCTGGTCAAGGGCACATGCTTGGGTTGCGGGCTCGATTCCCAGTAGGCAGGAGGCAGCTGATCAGTGATTCTCTCTCATCATTGATGTTTCTATCTCTCCCTCTCCCTTTCTCTCTGAAATATACACACACACACACACACACATATACACACACACACACACACGCGCGCGCGTGCACGCACACTAGAGGTCCGGTGCATGGATTTGTGCACCAGTGGGGTCCCTCGGCCTGGCCTGTGCCCTCTCGAAATCTGGGACCCCCTTGGGGGGATGTCAGACTGCCGGTTTCGGCCTGATCCCTGCAGGCCAGGCCAAGGGACCCCACTGGTGCACGAATCCATGCACTGGGCTGGTTTCAGCTCCATCCCTGCAGGCCAGGCCGAGGGACCCCACCAGTGCATGAATGCATGCACTGGGCCTCTAGTATGCATATAAGATATTTGGTTAATCTCTTCCCCTGCTCCACCCTTCCTTCTGAGATTCATCAGTCTGTTCCATGTTTCCATGCCTGTGCATTGAGTGTCTGTCCCCTGGTGGTCAGGGTGTGTCATAGCTACCAGTCGAATAGTTGGACACTTAACATATTAGGCTTTTATATATAGAGATGTGTGTGTGTGTGTGTGTGTGTGTGTGTGTGTGTGTATGAAAAAAAAATACTGCTCTGGCCAGGTGGCTCAGTTTGTTAGAGCTTTGTCCCATGCACCAAAAGATTTTAGGTTCAATTTCCAGTCAGGGCACATACCTAGATTTCGGGTTCAGTCCCCAATTGGGGCATGTACAGGAGGCAGCTAATCGATGTTTCCCTCTCACATTGATGTTTCTCTCTCCCTCCCTCCCTCTTTCTCTAAAATCAATAAATGTATCCCCAGGTGAGAATTTAAAAAAGAAAGAATAATGAATACTATTAGCTTCACTTGTGTCGCCCCTTTTATCCCACAAACCCAGGGACTCACCCTTGGGACTTCTACTTTTGTCCCTGCCCACTTTTCACACATTAAGACCCCCAGTGTGCCAGGCACCGTGCCATGTGCTGGGGACCCAGTGAGGAGTAACAGCAGACATGAACCCTACTCCCATGAGGCTCACAGGGAAACCGTAGCAGGAACCAAATGACAACTCACTGTGTTGATTAGGGAGCACTTGAAGCTGGTGTAACAAAGACACCCCAAGAAAAGAAAACTAGATCTAATTTAATTTCTCTCACTGAACAGTGTGTAGTTGAAAAGTCTAGGGCTGCTTATCAACAGCTTTGCTTTTTATCAAAATGTAGGTTTGAGATCTGGTTCTGAGACAATGGGAAAGGAGGGGGAGGGAGAGGGAAGGTCTGGCAGCAGAAGTGGTTGGGGGAATATGGGCTGTTGCGTGTGTCCTTCCAAAAAATGGGAAAGGAGTTTTCTCTGAGCTAAAGGAAGAAGGGAGGGGGATGTGGGAAGAGACTGGACAAAAATCGGGCACCTATGGATGAGGACAGTGGGGGGAGGGGGTGAGGGCAGAGGGCGGAGTGGGAACCGGGTGGAGGGGAGCTATGGGGGAAATAAAGAGAAACAACTGTAATAATCTGAACAATAAAGATCTAATTATTTTTTTAAAAAGGAAGACGGGAACTTGGGATGCTGGGAAACCATTAGCCTTGTCCACCACTGCAGCTATAGCAACGAGAAAACGTTTATTTATTTATTTATTTATTTATTTATTT